CTATCTATCTATCTATCTATCTATCTATCTATCTATCTATCTATCTATCTATCTACGAGCGCGCGTACAAGAAGTCATTGGATGGACATAGAGAATAATATGTAACATTTAATTATGTTCTATTTTCCTTCGACACCAGCTGTAATTGATTCGTACCCCCTCTGTGTGTGTGTTCTCTTCTATCTTTCACTCCCCCGTTCTCCCTATATGTGACAAAAATCAAACACAACTGAAATAAACAAACAAACAAACTCATGTACTCGACACTGAGTTCTGATGAGCTAACTCTGCACGAAATAATAAAAAGAATCTTAAACTCCTTAGTGCAATCTCCTTGGAAGAAAACTCATATTATTTTACTGTCACTTCTTCCCCTGTCTGACTTACGTTTTTTTCATGATTTTTTCTGACAAGGGTTGATTGCCTTTTTTTTCACTCGCCAGGAAATGCTTGTCAATGACACCCGCTTTGAGCTTGACGTCCTGTTCCAAACGTCCTTGATTTCTGACATTGTCAGGGTAAGTGATGACCCCAGACTGGGTAAGTGATGACGTCAGAGATGGACCCGTCGTGGCGTCAGAGCTCTATTGGGGTAAGACCCCCTAATTTGTAAAAGATTAGGTGGTTAGGTTACCGAACTCGTAATCGTGAGGTTCCGGGGTTTCGAGCCGCGGGCCCGACGTTGTGTTCTTGGGAAAGACAATTTTCACGAGCTTTCCTCACTTCACCTAGGTGGGAATATGTACCTAGCCATAGACAGTTAAAGATCTTTTCAGAATGTTACTGTTTTAGCGCCTATAAATGACCGCTTACACTGTATGCTTGCCAGGAAGTTGAGGTTTTTTCAGAATGCTCTCAGACCTGCTGGGGTAATAGTATAGATTGTGAAGCGCATAGAGCTTGCTGTTGAGCGGGGTTTTGCCCTATGCAAATGCTATCTATTATTATATGCAGTAAAAGTAACCGTCGACCTCATATTTTTCAAATACGTCAGTAGCGTCTTTCTTGCATGACGTCATAGTGACCCAGATGTGACGCAAACTGAAGGCAAAGACCCTGGGTGTGTGCTCTAGGTCATGTAAATTTCGAACGG